GTTTGTTTATTTGAGGTGGATGTTGAAAGAATGATTTATATAGATTGTTAAATAACTTAAACTGTATATGTATTTTTTTTTATCTACAAAATGTTGGGTAAAACATGGGTAGATGAAATAGTTGGTATGTGATGAAAGATGAGTTGGATAAATGAGATGATCGATGATATAGATCATGAGATGAGCGTGAGTGGTGAAATATGAGAGAATCACTTACCCAAACGTTGGCCCCCGTCATTCAACAGAGTATGGATGACAACCATGGACTATTTTAGATGATTTGTGGAACACTAGCAGGCTCGCAACTTGTAAGTGTGTGAACTATATGTTCATCGGTTGTACTCTAAAAACCCATTGACATGTATTGCGGGGAGATTCTTGTAAATAATATTATAAATAAGAGCTATGGAGTTAGTACATGTTGTATAAACCCTGACAGCTATGGACTTAGTGCCTCTTGTATAATCCCCGACAACGATGTGACTTCGTGCCTATTCCTTAGGGTGGATCCTTAGGAATGAGTGATAGTTGATTCTTAGGGTAAATCCTTAAGAAATAAATAAGATAATGGGGTTGGGGTAATTTGGTTGATTGTTTGATGTTTAAGCATAATAAGTTTATTTATTGTGGGTTGAAAACCCTATATGCTCACCAGACTCCTAAGCCTGACCCACTCAACTTTTTATATTACAGGTAGTGGACCCCGAGCATAGTCGGATGATGATGAGTGATTTTTGGATTATAGGCCAGTAGTTGTAAATAACTGTTGTAAGGCTTATACTGTCTTGTTATGCTTTTGATCTGTATCGAAACATGACATCTCGAGGTTTTGATATACAATGAAAATATATATTTCTTAAAGAAAGGTTTTGATAAAATTTTATCATGTCTTGTGTTGGGAACAAATTCCGCAACATCTTTGAAAAGGATTACTCTGATTTTATTTTATAAAGCATAAATTAAATCGGTCTTTTTTGGCCAAGAAAATTGGGGATGTCACAGTTTTGGATTTTGATATGATCCTTCAAGTGTTTTAAAATATTTTAAAGAATTACTAGATGATTATGTCATATTCTTAAACTTAATGATCTAATCATTTCTTTAATATCTTATAATTTTTCATTTTGATTTTCAGTAGATGTTGTAGGTTGACATTTCGAGATGGAGAATCTACCTGTTATAGTTGAAATTTGAGGTTCTATAATTGGATTTCTTTTTATTAACGGAGTAGTTATTATTGATTGAAAATTAGTTTCATTAAATATTATATTCTTAGTTGTATTTGGTGATTCAAGTGATAATAGAGGAGTAAATAATTTATCTATATAAATTATATCTTCTATTTTAAATGTAATACTATGATGAAATTTTGTTAATGCATAATTTATTTGATATGTAATAGTAAACGGATGATTACCTTTTAACATAAAATTTTATCTTAATAATTTATACCGTACAGTAATACTATGACTTAGATTTTTATCTTTAAGACTTAATACTAGTTGAATATTAATATTAAATTTTATTTTTCCTTCAATTAAATTACATTTTCCTTTTGCAATAATACTTTCTTGATTATTAATTATACGATCATCTCTGATTTCTAATTCTATAGGTGTATCTAAATCGCTAAAAGTACTTTTTAAAATTACTTGAATAGTTGATATATGAATATAAGTAATTTTTATTCTATCTACTTCTTTAATATTAGATAATTTATTTCTAATTTGTTGTTTATTTATTTTGGGTATAATAATATTTCTTGAGTTGATTCTATAGGTATTGGTTCTTCTCCTATAATTTTTCCATAACATATAATATTTTTTCTAGAAAAGAAATTTTTTAATGGGTTATGTCTAAAATTATGTTTTTCTGATAGTGTAAAATTTGATTTTTTTATAGCATCTTTATTAATATTATTTTTGTTAATTAAAGCATCAAAAGTGTATCTAGATTCATTTTCTTTGTTATTAATAATGATTGGTGAATTTTCTATTTCTTGAGATATATTTAACAGATTAGTTTTGTAATTTTATCTTCTAGATTTTTTATTTTTTCTTGTTTCCAATTTATACTATTATTTATTATATGTATTGCTTCAATATTGGATATACAATTAACTATTGATATGTTAGAATCTATTTTAAATTTTAAAAGAAATTTTTTAGATTGTTTCAATGTTTTACGAAAAAAAAATTAGCTCTTGTTTATTATTATTTAGATTTGAAAAACTCATGATTATAATTCTATATAAACATAAATATATTTTTGTTTGAGAAATGATGGTGATAATAGCATTTAATATGTCTATTAAATTTTATGATGAGTATGACAAATGACATGCATCAATATAATAACATTTATAATGATGCATGAGGAATATTTTTCTTTTGAATAAAACGGATGAATACTCATATTTATAATAAAAATGATAAGAACGAAACTTAGCTATGATACCAAAATTAAAGACATGGAACTAATAAAAAAAATTAGGATGGAATTATACTTGAATGATGCGTCGGAATGGATTGATGATGGATTGTTTAAATTATAAGAATGATTATATGAATAATCTTGGGTATGTTTGGATAGGGTTCTGCTATTCATAAATAAACAAACTATTTTAAAAGGGGAAGAGCTTTGAGATCAACTCAAGTCTTAGACACTCAAATTTAACTTGTTTATTCATACGGGCAAAGACCCTATTTATAGGCTCAAGAGAGTTGGTTACATAATTGAGTTGCAACCGTTTGATTGCAATATGAAATACATATTTACAATATAGCCCCCTAAACTATTGAGGGTTACATACTTTATTTCATATCTTAGACACTACTTTATATCACATTTTATACCGACAATAATAATCATATAAAGATAAATTACAAATAACTATAATAACAAATAATTACAATTTATTCCATAATGAAAGGATGCGTGTCTTCAATAATGTCTTCAATATGTCATTGCTTTCGTCATTCCATCACAATTAAATACGTGAAATTAATAAAAAATTAGGATGAAATTATACCTGAATGATGCGTCGGGATGGATTGACGATGGATTGTTTAAATTATAAGAATGATTATATGAATAATCTTGGGTATGTTTGGATAGGGCTCTGCTATTCAGAAGTAAACAAACTATTTTAACAGAGGAAGAGCTTTGAGATCAACTCAAGTCTTAGACACTCAAACTTAACTTGTTTATTCATACGGGCAAATGTCCTATTTATAAGCTCAAGAGGGTCGGTTAAATAATTGAGTTGCAATTGTTTGATTGCAATACGACATACATATTTACAATATAACCCCCTAGACTATTGAGGATTACACACTTTATTTCATATCCTAGACACTACTTTATATCACATTTCCTATCGACAATAATAATCATATAAAGACAAATTACAAATAATTATAATGACAAATAATTACAATTCCTTCCACAATGAAAGGACGCGTGTCTTTAATAATGTCTTCAATACGTCATTGTTTTCGTCATTCCTCCCGCCACCGAAAGGACATATATTTCTGAATGATGTGTGCTTTGGTTATTGCTAACATTAGTCTTCCATGAACGGTGTTTCTTCCGTATTGTCTTTACAATGGCTGCAATTATGTCGTGGTGCATGCATGATATGTTTACAAAGCTGTTTTTTTTAGATCATCGGGTAATTCAGTTAAGTGATGTGAAAATTTTTCGAATGGTTGTTCGAAAGTTTTAATTGCTTTAATGCTTCTAGAGTTATTTCACTGTCTGTTAAAGAATAGATAACGAAGGTTTTACTAGCATTATTTACTCTGATTCTTGACTTTTGATCTTTACCACTGCCTACGCGAGATGATGCTAAATAGACACCGGCAAGTGCAAAAATTAAATGGTCTTTTGTAGGTATTTCATGGAGTAGGTCATCTTTTGTTGGTTTTGAGTTGTTGCTTATCCCCATATTTGCGAAAGTAATGCTTGGAACAAGTAATTGAGAATCTTCATCAAAGATTGGATAACTGGAATGCATATTGATAAATAATCCTCTTTCTTGTATTGTAAATCATGTTTTGTAGCTTCTGATTACTGTTTGAACAGCTGATGGGAATTCACTAATGCAATGTAAATTTGTTCCATCAAGATAGATAGTGTCTATGAATCCATGGCTGAAAATAGTCCCATAAAGTCATGAGGTTGGTGAGATCTGCTAGGAATACTACTTTTGGATCTGGTTGCTTGGCTACTGGGTAAAAGTCCATTAAAGAATGGACTTTGTTGTATGAAATGAGGTTGTCCCATAATCTGGCAAATTTTTGAGCAAATGGTTTTTTCATAGCTTCTTTTTCTTTAGTTGATGAAATGGCTTTAAGGGCAATTTTTGCGTTTAGTTGGTTAAAAGATTTTAGGATGGATAATAACAAATAATTACAATTCCTTCCACAATGAAAGGACGTGTGTCTTCAATAATATCTTCAATACGTCATAGATCACCTTGAAATTCCAATGGATAACCAAACCGAAAGGATCCAATGTTCATACAATATTAATCCAATAAATATCCAATTATCATCCAATATTATTATCAAATTAATATCGGACAAAATTACAAATATAGTCAATTCTCTTAATGATTTTGCATATTTGAACAATGGTAGCTGAAGTTGAAGATTGAAGTTCATTTGCTAATCTTATTTAGCGTGATTGTATGTAGTTTAGTTATAATCATCCCGATACAAAATGGATTTGAATTGGATAAATAATGGATAACCAATAAAATATATCCAATGGATAAAGTTATCTAATTCAATATCCAATTAGATCGGTTCGGTTCGGTTGGTATAAAGAATTGAATTAGATTGGTTGACAATATCCAACATTCAATCAATAATTTGATTGGATCGGTTTCGTCAAAATCGATTGGATTTAAAACGATAAACATCTCTTTCTATCTTTTTTCATATTTTTTGATAAGTCAAAAGTTTATGAATTTAATTTATATCAATCACAAATAAATATCAATCATATTAAATATGATATAAGGTAACAAAGTGACTTCTTAACTCGTAATCTCTAAGAAATAAAGTTATTATTGCAACGTTGCAATAATGGTGATAAGTTGGTCGCCGTGGCAACGTATATTTCACAACAAAAACAAGCAGTTAAACACCCAAAGAGAATTACCCCCTTCACATATCATCAAACAAATCTCGTCGGGAACCCAAAAATCTCATCTTTCTGCCGCCGCATCTCTCTTTATCCATCCCTCTTTCTCGGCGCACGAACGCACTAAATCTTCAACGCCACAACAGCAACGGCGACGGCGACGGCGACAATGAGATGGGACGAACTGGAAGGCGATTTTATGCATCACAACGACGAACAAGAACCCCAACAACAAGACCAACAAGACTCTTCGTATCTCAATTTCGATACCCTCTCTCTCATTTCTAAGCCCAAGGTAAAATTTTCTTTATCACTTCGTCGTTTTTGATGTTTCTGTTTATGGAATTTTACTTGATTCTATCACTTCTTTTGATTTTTTTTGTTAATTTCATATGCTATTTGACCGATTTTAGGATTATTATCGAATACTTGAGGTGGATTACGAAGCTACGGAAGAAGAAATTCGGTCCAACTATATTCGTTTAGCTCTGGTTCGTCTTCTCTCCCTCGTTATCTTCTACTCCCCTTTCTGTACTTTGATCCTTGAGATGAAACATACTGATTTCCGACTTTAAAATCATCTGGATTTCGGAATGTTTTTTGTACTTACTTCAAAAATCGAAATCCGATTGATCGGTACCGAAATCTTAGCTTCTGATTTTGTGTCTGATTCATTTATGAATTGAGAAACCCTAATCTTTCAATTGGTATTTACCTATTGATTAAACACCCGATTCCGTTGTTTTCCATGTTTTTGGTTTTGGATATGTGATCTTGATTTTAAGTGCTTTTCTCTTGGACAGAAATGGCATCCAGACAAGCAAAAAGGTGAGGATAGTGCCACATCCAGGTTTCAAGAGATAAACGAGGCATACAAAGGTTGGCATCTCTATAACTATCTTGAAATTCCGTTCTTGTTTTTCATGTTCAATGTCAGTTTCACATATGTTTTGCAGTCTTCACTTTATTTAGCTGATAAGCGAACTTTTTTGGGATCTATATATGAGGGTTTCTTAGCCAATCAATGCGTATCATCAGAAACTAGACATTGCAGTTTTGATACAAATGATCATATGAATTTTATTTCCTAACAATGAGATATCTATTCAATGCATTTCCATTTTTGCAGTTTTGAGTGATCCAATCCGTAAACAAGAATATGACAAGACAGGAATGCTATACCTCTATGATTACAACATTGTGGTAAGCAATAAGCATATCATCATTCATTACTTTTACTTTGATTCCATAGTTCCTCTTCAATAAACTGAATGGAATGGAATGGAATGCAGGATTACCTTAACCGTTACAAGGGTCTTATCTTAACATGCAATGGCCTCGGGATGAAGACATCAATCTTGTGAGAGACACACGCACACTTTGGTACATATGGTTGGTTCTTGAGGCTGTTGATCTTATGGTGGTGCAAGAAGTAATGAATTTGCAGTTTTAGATTTATTACTTACTACTGCGACTATTATGTAAAGCTTTGTATCATGCCAATCGACTCTAGTTTTATGGTTAAAAAATCTTTTAACACCCTATTTGATTGTTTTTTTTACTAAAGTTAAGTAGCCCTATGAGATATAGCAGTAGCGTAAGAGTTTTAATTCCAATGTGGATTGGTGTGTCATCTATAGTGTGATGGTGTATGCCTAATCTATAATGTGTATAAAAGCAAGTTTCGGTTGATATCACAAAGTAATTTACATCAAATCTTGTATTTATTATGGTAATAAATACAAGATTTAATAGATATATTTAAATCCTCACACAAGCTTCACAAAATGATAGAAATGGTCCTTATCCAAAAAAAATTCAACTTGGATCCATCTAATGGACATCATTTGTATGCAAGGTGGAGCATTCATGTAAAAAAATGTTTCATATGGACTATTTTATGGACAAATGGAAAAAACTTAAGGATCATCTTTGAAATTTTGTATTTTAATGTTGAATTTCCACCAAAACATTTGGCCTTGGTAAAGATAGACTTCCTCCACCCTAAGAAAATAGAAACTAAATGGAAAAAGCATAGTAATCCAATATACAATTACGGGAGCAAAACAATAGTCCAAAAAAAAATACATCTATATATATAAATATTAAAACGTCAAGGCTAGAGATAGTTTTTTGTTGTCATGTAGATGTCATATTTGTTTTTTGTTTTGATTATTATTTAAAACAATATAATTTATATGAAATTAAAATTTTCATTAAGCTAAAAACAAGTGCATTATAGAAAACAAGACACTTCAAATTACATAAAAGACAAGACATTTTAAAATTAAAACATAGGAATTATAAAACATAAAAATAAACATCACTTCAGTCCACAGTGCATATTGATACCATTTTGCGCACTCTTTGACAACTTGTGAGCACTCCTGGAAAGATTTGTTATTCTCATGGCGTAATATTTCAAGAACATTGTTAAATAATATTCCAACATTTTCACAATTTGCTCTATTAAATAAAACATCAAACTCTACAACTTTGTTAGTGTGCTTCAACTTGGTGTAGATTTGTTCTTTGCTTCACTAGCAACCCTGACTCATTGAGTTGTGAAACCAAAAAGATGACCCATTTACATAGTCGTTGACCATCAGGTCCTCTTGTACATCGACCCATATACAGGTCAAAGCTGGTTCAAGAATGAGCCATTCAGAGGTTTATAAGTGTTGAATGTTTGAATGAGATGAACGTTTGAATGGAAAAAAGTTAAAAAGGTTGTTGGTATTTATTTTGGTTGAAAAGAAATGAAGTCACATTTATAATATCTAGAATACGTAAACTATTTGAATTACAAAAAATAAAATTCAATAAACTATTCCAACACTATCTAAACATGTCAAAATATGCCATATTTATTGTGTTCAAAACTTCAAATGCTACTACTACTTCCACATGCACGACATTCTTCTGCTTTCATTTGTACATCACGCATCAAAACCTGTCAATATATCAACAAGTTCAAATGCTGCTTTTACTTATACATCATGCATCAAAACATGTACATTCAATCTCAATTTTCACCATTATTCTTGATTCCCTCTATTAATCAACCCATCAAGAACTTCAAAGGTACCCAACAATCTTCTCCCCCTACACACCACCTCAACAACCCGACCCCACACCCTCAACTCCGGGTTAAACCCCATCACCGCCAATGCCGCCACCACCGCCGCCGCCTCCTCCCCCCTTCCACCTTCACAAAGCCCAACCACCAACTCATTTGACGTGGCAAAATGAGGCACAAATCCTCTACTCAACATCACACCAACCAACCCTGTTGCCTTCTCCAAATCCCCTAATTTAATCAATGAATTCAACACAATCCTATAACTCGATTTATCCAAATAAACACCTCCTTCATAACTCAACCTCTCAAGCATCTCAAAAGCTTCATAAGTTCTATCAAATCTACATAACCCCACAAGAATCACATTAAAAGTAATCGTGTCCCCTTTACAATCATTTTCCTCCATTTCTTTCAAAACCCTAATCCCTTCATCAATTTCACCCGCTCTACACATACAATTAATCAAAGTGGTGTACAAGATTTTATCGGGTCGTAACCCGACCCGTTTCATTTCGTTAAAAACATTTTTCGCTTCTTTTAAATCACCTATTTTGCAAAATCCGTTCATTAAAGTTGAGTAGTTGAATACATTTGGATTGCACCCGTTTTTTGTCATGAAGTCAACTATCTTCATGGCTCGGTCAACCTTTCCAGACTTACAAAACCCGTTAATTAAAATGTTGTAAGTCAAAGGATCGGGTGTGATTCGCTCTTTTGAAACCATTTGTTCGAAAAGATCGATTGCTTCTTCGAGTTTTCCACTTTGGCAAAAACCCTCCATTAGAGTTGAGTATGTGATCAAATTAGGGTAAGAAACTTCTGAAAGTTTCATCTCTTTTATGACCTCAATAGCAGAGTCAAGATTTCCATTCTTGCAATGATGTTTGACCAAAATGTTGAAGATGCATGTGTTAGGATGTAAATCGAGGGTCCTTTTGGAATCTAAGAGGAAATTTCTTGCTAAATCGACTTGATTTGAATCAACCAAAAGATTTAGACATGTGCTCACGGCTTTTAAAGAGGGCTTTTCGCGAACAATTGGTTGGATTTTATCGAACATTTCAATAACCCTTTTATGAAGTGAAGATTTTGAGAAATGTGTCATGAGATCAAGGAATATACTTTCATGGAATTTGCAGGTTTCATAGCTCATTTGATGAAGAATGGAATCGACTTCTTTGAAGTGTTTTGAGCGTGCGAGTTTGTGAAGGGTAATGGCGTAAGTGGAGTGGTTGTGATTGAAACCTCTTTGATTAGCAACTGTTTTAAAGATTGTAAGGATTCGATGTGGATCTTTCTCACGTTTTATTAATCTGATGGCTGATTCATGAGAAATGTATTTAGGGTTTTTTGGGGTTTGTGTGATGGTGGTTGAAGGGTCTGGTTTTTGGGATCTGGATTTTGCATAAACAAGGGGGGAGATCCATGGAACCATTGAAGGTTCTTTAGAAAAAGAAGTAGAGAACCATCGTATCTTATCCATGTTAAGGGTTTAGGGTTTAGGGTTTTGATGACAGTTCTTAAACACACCAACTTCAAGTCCTAATAATCTAGAGTCCTGCAAGGTTACACAAGATACAAGGTAAAATTCCAATTGAAACTTGGATACTTAAAAAAGAACACAAAATTCATAGCAATGGAGCAAAAGTTTCTTTTACAACAATAGACGAAATTGAAAGTTGAGAGGCTAAAATGGCATCAAGTATCAACAGAGATCGCTCTATTGCCGTTCTAGATTGCTCGATTACATTGTCTGTTACCAACAGTGGCGGATACAATACTATGGCTAGGGTTTTTATATTATGAACAAAATGAAAGAAACCATAAACTACAAACTGAAGAAGCACATATAAGAAGAATAAGGAATCGTAACCGAATATAGTGTGGATAATTTCGTTTCTATTGCGTATATACAGAGTTAGTAGAAGCAGATGTGATTTTACCTTGATTATCGGATGAGAGGGTTGCAACAGTAGCTTGTATTACCAGATGACAAAACTTGAGAAAAGAAGGATTAAAGACAAGAAAATTCGAGCAGGGGAAGATCCTGATTCCACCAGCGTAACTGCGTAAGTGGAAAGAAACATCCTGATATTAGGGCGAACCTATGGAACTGGAGTACTGGACGAAGTGACGAACCTATGGAACTGCGTAAATGGAAAGAAACATCCTGAGATTTGGACGAAGATGATGGGGGTGTTTGGATAATAATTACCTCTAACAAAAAGTGAGATATTAACCATTTAACAGAAGTCCTTTGTAATTCGTTTTTATTGTTGAAGTTGATAAATACACCACGCTTGCGTTGTGTAAAAATATTATATGGGATAATGATTTAGGAGGTAACAACGTTTTCGTTTGTTTATATTAGGTCTCTAACGTATTTTTTGTTTGTATTACATAATTAAGGTTGTTATAATCGTTTATAAATAATATTTTTTACCGGTTTCTTTCTGTTAAAATGATTATTTGTAAACAGTTAGAATAACCTGGTGTAATACACAAAAAAAAAAAAAAAAAAATACATAAGGATCTAAAATGGACAAACAAGAAACCTTATTACCCTCCTAAGATTTTTAGTATTTATTATTTTGAATATATATTTTTAAGATTTTTAGTATTTATTTTTATATGTGTATTTCATATAAAGTTGTTGAAATTAAAAAGAATAAAAAGTAGAAACGTTTGGATTGGATTTTGTAACCACATCATCTGGTTAACATCTATCACAACAAAACCTCTAGCAAGGAGCTAGAGAGAAAAACAAATGAAGGTTGGATTGGATTTTGTAACCACATCACGGATAGATGAAAACACAGGAAGGTCCAAATGAAGCCAATGCCCAATCCGACTCCAAACCTGATCAGCAACCGAAACTACAACAACAAATGCTTCACACTTTCTTGAGAATTATGACACATAGGACATAATAAGGAATCTATCACCACCCTCTTTCGACCGGTTTAGCTCTTACCAGAATGTGATCCAAAAGCACACACCATAAAAAATATTAATTTTAATAGGGATAAAACGGTTCCACCTAGTAGGCATACTACCCATAAGAAGCGTCATATCATTAACTCAATTTCCATGCTGATTTAACAATAAAGATACTCGACGATTCAAGCTCCTAATACCACTTATCCGACATTTCCCCTATGCGAATAGGATTTAATATCTCCACAAGATAATCAAATTGTGTCGATTCAGCCCCTCCTCTAATCCCCGACGCCAATGAAAATAACATCCCCCTAAATCCCATTATTCACTTACTCGAGCATCTTGATTAAAAGCCAAAGCACAGAGCCTCCCGAACCACTCCCTAAGAGAAATATCCAAGCACCAAACATCCTTCTAAAACCTCGTTTGAGTCCCATCCCCCACCACTCTATACATGGAATTAGAAGGAATGCAACCATTCTTATGGAGATGATTAATAGATCCTACAATCTTTTGACAAACACCCCCTCCAGTTCCTATTCTCGAATCGTCCGAAAAAACCACCACCTTCCCCATGACAAAATTTGACAATTTTAACCCAAAGAGCTCCCTTGTCATTAAGAAACCGCCACTTCCATTTATAAAGAACCCCGAGGTTAAAAGCATCCAAACTACCAAGCCCAAGACCTACAAGTTTTCTTATTTAAAAAGTAAAAATTTACTATAGGGGTTTATAGTTTCATACGGTGATAATAACTTAGGAGGGTAATAACGTTTCCCGTTTGTCTGTAACGACCCGTTCCCGGTATGTTGATTTATTGGTAATTGTAGTGAGTTTTTCTAGAGGGACTCGGCGAGTTCTAGCCTGACTCGCCGAGTCGGGTCGCGTCTGAGGGCACGCGTGAGCCGGGGACTCGACGAGTCCATATCCCCGACTCGGCGAGTCCACCTGTCTGGGTGAAACCCTAGATTTCCCGGGTTGCCCACTATTTATACCACCCTTATAGCCTCCATTCTCGCCTCCCTCACCCTGAGAACACAGTGTTAGAGCCCCAAACCTCCATTGAAGAGCTTATATGTGTTTTGGTGCCATTTTGTGAAGGTGTGAAGAAGGAGAAGAAGGAAGAAGCAAGGAGAAGTGTTGTAGTGCAAAGATCCAAGGCCAAATCAGAGCTAATAGAGGTATTTTCGGAGTTCCATCTTGTTATATGCTTTAAACTTCCATTAGAGCTCTCCTAAGAGCTAGTTGATGCTTGTTCCAAGCCTTACACTTGCATGAATGTCTTATTAAGTCGGAAATATCTATGGATCTGAATGTTGGGGTGTTGTAGAGCCCAGATCTACTGTCTTTTTGGAGTTATATTGCATGATAACCATAGATCTACCCATTTTATGTATCTTTTAGCCTTATTTCCCTTATTCATGAGGTTGTGCACGTAAAGTTGGAAACTTTACGTGGTAAAACAGCTTATTGGACTCAGATCTATCAATTGTATGCATTGGATTCAAACAAAATCAAGTAGAAATCAGTTGCATGGCGGCGACTCGGCGAGTCGGAAGAACGACTCGACGAGTCGGGTCGCGAGTCCCGAGTCCTTCAGTTTTATCAGTGTCGAGTGTACGAGGTGAGTTAGAGAGTGGAATCAGCGAGTTGAGAGTGGACTCAGTGATGGAGGGACTCGACGAGTTTGTTCATCAACTCGGCGAGTCCAAGGCAATCTTCTTGGGATCAAGAACAACTCGTCGAGTCTGTTCATACGACTCGGCGAGTCGGATGAAGATTGTCTGGGTTCTTGGATCAAGAGGGTACTCGTCGAGTCGATGCCAGACTCGACGAGTAGCAGTGAGCAGAAGTGAAAAGTGAGAGTAGGACTCGGCGAGTTGGGTGGCCAACTCGGCGAGTCAGCCCAAAAGAGAGTTGACTTTGACCAAGGGTAAAAGAGTCATTTTACCCCAAGCACAGTGTTTAGTATTTGATTGAGTGTGTTATGGACTTGTAGCCGAGGAGATTCAGGAGCAGCCGCCGTTAGCTTCCCGAGCCACACACTCAGCAGCCAGCTTACGAGTTGAGTTTCCTTCCAGTAGGAACGGGTCTAAGGCCACAATGCCGGCCCGTTCAGTTAGCAGTAGTTTCCGGATTTAGGTCCGATGCAGCAGTTAGTATGTTCGATGCCTTCGTGGTTCGAACAGGATTTGCGTGCTATGTTTTATGTGTTAAGTATTATGTGTTCCGGGCCACGGCCCGATGTAGCATGTCGTATATGTGTTATGCTAGTTGATGTGTTATGCTATGCCATGTTCAGTCAGTTCCGGACTTCGGTCCGATGCAGTTAGTTCCGGACTTCGGTCCGATGCAGTTTCCGGGCTTCGGCCGATGCAGTGGGCAAGGCCCAATATGTGTTTATATGTTATTGTATGGTATGTGGTAGTTTGGGGGAGCTCACTAAGCTTCGTGCTTACAGTTTCAGTTTTGGTTTCAGGTACTTCCGCAAGCAAAGGGAAGAGCTCGGGGTGACAGCATCGCACACACCACAACATAGCTTTATCCTGGGGGATGTCTCTTGATGTTTTGGATTGATGTAGTATGATACAGTTTTCCGCACAATATTTTATTATGTTTTGGGGATACATCGCGTATGTTTTATGTTATGATACTTATATTATGGTTTTGATTATATGGAAAAACGAAAATTTCTGGGTCGTGTTTTTGGGTCGTTTCAAGTTGGTATCAGAGCCCTGGTTTGAGGGATTCGGATACACTTCCGGGTGTATCTGAACTCAAACTAAGGGAAATAAAAGATGTTAATAAAAATGTTTTACCAAAAAGAATTTTGAAAGCACTCGGAAAGAAAGAATTGTTTTTAACAAAGATAGAGGTGTGTGCATGCGGTCAGCCGAGCTCAAGTAAGTACTCCCAGACTACCCATACAAGTTATTTGTTCAGTTCAGTTTCAGTAGAACAGCATGCTAGTATAGGGCTAAGGATCTAGGAGAATGCCTTATGTGCCTGCTTATGTGTTACAGCTTTATGAGTATTGCATGCTAGAATTGAGTAGACAGCAGTAGGATAGCCTGTTTAGGTTATGCCTGATAGTAGGAGCTTAGCATCCTATGCTAGTGCAGTTTCTTGTTATAAGAATAGTTTTGCCTGAGTCTATTTCCCGTGTCGAATGCTGCTTGCTTCGTGCTTAGTGGGTTCTGAGTAGTGGGAGTTAGCCATTAGGTGAACACGTACACCACATGTGATCAGGTTTGAATAATCCCAGAGTGCTGGAACTGGCTCTACTGCGCAGCTCTTGTTTGAGTCCAACCGTTGTAGGGACGGATCTTTTACTTGAAGGATTATCTGATCCTCATCACATGTGATGGTGTTTAGGTGGTGGCTAACTGGCATTATGAGGAGACCTACAGCAGCTGAGGACAGTCGCGTGAGCTTGAAGTTTCCCTAGGGCAAGCTAGGATGAGAGTAGCAGAGAATGGCGGTAGTAGAAGTGA